CACACCCACACCCACACCCACACCCACACCCACACCCACCCTCACCCACACTCTCTGGATCGTTCGAAATAATGTTTGATTTTCTTATTAAAAATTTTTACAAAGCAAATGGCTTGGAGTACGGTCTCATAATTGTAGACTTCTGAGCATTATCGATTGGTATTAACTTTGAGTTAAACGGCACTTCAAATGGATTAGAGCTTATTTACTAAGATCCAATTTATTTTTACTGCCGTGTAATCGATACATATGACTGAATTCCAAAATATAATATTAGATTTGGATCAATTTAGCATAAATCAACATGAAATATCCAGGCACTACTTCCAAATATAATTCAAACACATCTTTCATCTAGTTAAATTGCTGTCTTTTTTTTATTATTTTCGTTGTACTTTTCAAGATTTATTGTTGTTGCCATTTCATATATAAATTTGTTTTTTGTTTGTAAATGAAAAATCTGATGCATAAATATTGTATTTGTTATTAATAGAGAAAGAGTGGCAAGAAGAAAATTGCTATCACTGTCAAGGAACAAAACAGAAAAACAAAACAAAGAAGTCTGGTAGTTAAGCGCATTTCTGTATAAACTGTTTGTTTTGTGACTTTAAGTTAAGAAGAACTAAAGCAAACGATTCTTGATATCAACATTGACATCCAGATTTGAAGTCTTTGATTGATTCTAAAACTTTGCTTGAATTTTAATTAAAAAAGTCATTGAATCTTTATTTTAATATTCTTGTACTTGCAAATTTTCTCAAAAAATATTTTCTTATTAGATTCCTCCAAAACGAGTTCAATAGTTTTCTTACTATTAAAATGAACGATTTTGCATAAAATTTGACGAAACTGATTACATCAGCAAAACCAAATAAATGTCCTTTCAATAGTACCCATTTCAAATCTTCTGTCTTCAAAAAAATTATCCCATCGATTTGATCATTCGATGATTACATTATGTTCAAAAGCTAAGTCTGTGATTCCTTATTATATCTATTTCTCAATATGACGATCAAACAAAAATTTGCAAAAAAAGTTTTTTTGTTAAATTCTATACATTCGTTTATGTTCATTGACCTTCTTTAACGGAAATAACGAAGATTTAAATGAATTTGAAAAACATACTATGAGATATCCGCTTACAAAATTTTCAATAGAGCCTAATTACTGCATTGTCAACAAGACGAGACAATCGTTATCATCTATTGTATCAAATAACGATCTTCGTAAATTCGAAGTCAAAGGAGATTATTGGATTCTCAATGAAATACAATGACGTATTTCATATGCAATGGAACACGTATAACGATTAATGATGGGTGCAGCTGGTATACAGTTTGCTATATTCATAGTCACTGACCTCTTCGACGAGTATTGCGTATGAAAGATATTCATAAAAAACAATTGAATAGAACGATTGCTACGAATACTGACATTATCCGATCAACTCATTTAACTTTACTCAATAGTTAAAAATACATTCTGAGGTGCCAATGAATAATATTGAATCGCTTCTATCACTTTTATCTAGCTTAATATATCTTCAACTGCTCGCCAAATTATATTTAACTAAACCTTTATTATTTGACGATCCTCAGTGGTAGAATCTCATTGAAACAAATTGTGCCCAATTCAACAAATTAAAATTTTGGTTTTCTCGTCTTCCATTGAAAAAAACACATTTTAATGCTATAGAATTACAGATTGAACCAAATCAAACGTTGATTGGTTAAATTTGACCATGAATACAACAAAAGTGATCGAAAATTTCATCTCTATTCAATACAAATTTTTCGAGATCATTCACGTTGTTCTGTTAATACAAAATATTCAAGTGCTTTTTATTTTGATATATTTGTAATGATCACAAATTAAATTATCGATTAAGATCAATTATATTTTATTTTCGCTTTGTTGAAATTTTGAAAACATTGCTTAAATCAATTCATTCACCCTAAAGACCAATTTTTGAGTAAGTTCTATGTAATACTTTTTATACGATTTACCTTTATGGCTGTCAACAATCTAATGCAATTTTGTTTATTGCTAACATGAATTTAATGGAGATATGTACGTGCTGAACTTTTAATTCAATACTTTTTAGGAATATCAAATTTTTCAACGAGACATGGACAGAACATGGCAAAAGCAACATAGAGCTGTAGAGGGTGTGAGTGAGTTCGAACATTAACTATCTTCACAAACAGACCAACATTCACTCGACTGCATCGATGTCAATACCATAGTCAAGTAAAAATAAGCTAGTGGAATTTTCAATTTTATTCTCTATTAAGTTTCTATTTGGACAGTAGATTACTCTTATTTTGTCTATTTTTGAACGTCACTCTCTTCACTTCTTCAAATCGACGAAATCCAATGAAACTTTCAGAGAAATGAATAACTGAATATTTGTACGATTTTAATGATCTTTCAAAGATGATTTCAATCATACTTTGTATAGAGATGTAAAAAGATGCGTGTTATGGACTACATTGATAGTAGTTTGACGTATCCATCCTCACCATGACCTCAATGATAGAAAAACCCACGGCTTAAACTAGCACTACTTTTGTTTAGCATGAGTTCGAATGTAAATCAAACTCTCATATAAAAACGTGCTCTGAGTAGTTGAACACAAACGACACATTATTTTTCAATAATAAATTGCAGTACTGTTAATTATAGAAAATGACTACATATCTTAACTCTCTTTACGCACCTCATAAAATTTTACCATATCTTATCCGTAATCGTTTACTTGAGTTTCTGTCTATTTAGTTATTTTGTGTTTCGCTGAAGCAATAAAAAAAAACATTTCTATTAACTAAATAGTGTTAGACAGATTTTAATATTTTTGCGTGCTTCGAAGTATAACTATGATAATCAATGCATCTCGTTTTTTGTAGGAAAATATCGATTTTATCTTAAGAATTCCTGTTATTGACACTTTCTAAGATAGTAACCAATGCAGGAAGTATTTCTAGAATTTAATGAAGATCATTTTCTTTTTGAATGCTAATTTTGGTTTGACCTATGAAACTTTTATGGAAAAAAAAGTCAAGCGACTTCTTACGATCGTTCAATAAAAGTTACTCTTAAGACAGAACAACTTCTATTTCAAAAATCCTAGTCAAAGATAATTCTTAGAATTTGAAAAAAAAAAGCTCACTGTCTCTATTTCTAAAATAATCTTTGATACAGTCTTCTAGTATTGATAGTTCGTAGTTGAAAAAACCATGATATATTTTCTACATCGATACTCTGAATGGGTTATAAATAAATGTTAATGGCGACAATATGTCGAAAACCAATTATCTTTCAGATTTCATTTGAAAATCGATAGATTTTCTATTTCTAACATCTATTGATTTTTTTCAGTTTACTATAAAATAGTGTTACATACTGATCCTCAATGGACTCCTTCTGATGTTGAACATTACAGACATCAAGTTGTCATCTTCAATTATTCAATGTAAACATTTTCAAAACATAGAAAACTTCAAATGAAAATGTCATCTCACAATGTCACAAAGTCGCAAATCTTTGTTATAAACTAGAAAATAAAGAAACCTATCAACAATTGTTCAGTGAATTTCAGTCCGATTGAAATCAATTATCGAGTGACGTTAGATGCATGTGGGTGTGGGGTGTAAGTGTGGGTGGGTGTGGTAGGGAACTGCAAAATCACTTTTTTTAGTCCCGGTCCCGGTCCCGGTCTTTGA